ATTAAGTGATTCGATTCGATTCGAATTCGAATCGGTTCGAATCGGTTCGAATTTCATTGATTCGTTCGGAGCCTTAGCCAACCCTGAATTAAGCAGAAATGATTTATCAATTGCACATATTTGTTATTATTGGCACAAAATGTTACTATTCCTTATTCACCCCAGCAAACAGTGCATTATATTTTTTATCAGGCTATGCGGTTCATTTATTTGGAATTTGTAAAACTGAGGGAGGGAAAAAATCAACAACTAAATTTTTTAATAGGAGAAGGTGAACTTCCTCAAGGTAAATCTAAGGGAGCAAATACTACTTTAAATTTAATTTATCAAGCTCTGCAAATTTTTGCAAAGGATGGAAAAAAAAAATTACATATAACTTGTGATAATTGCTCTGGACAGAATAAAAATAATTTATCTTTATGGTTTTGGACTTGGTTAATAACGTTGGGTTGGTATGAAGAGATCACAGTTAACTATGATTCCAGGCATACAAAATTTATATGTGATTCTTTTTGGTCATATAAAAAATTTATATAGAAATAGTGAAGTTAATCAAATTAATGATATTGAAGAAATTATTAAAAATTCTTCAGAAGGAAATGAACCTATACAATATAAGAATGGCTCAGGATGGAAATGGTATAATTTTGGAGAAATATTTGAAATCAACTTTAAAATTTTGCCAAATTAAAGCTCCTCACAAGCTGGCTTGTGAGCCAAAAAACTTATTCAACTTGCGAGCCTATTAAGTTATTTGGCTTGCAAGCTGGCTCATGTGGAGCCTTATGCCAAATATAAAACAATATCATCATTTAGACTTAGTGTTATTCCAATTAACATAAATCTTGAAAGAAAATTGTATTTGTATTAAAAAATTAGCAAATTTTGTAGATGTTTGCTATAGAGATGTTCATTTTTCAAATCCTAATTCAAATGCAATGCGGGTTAATTAGATCTTTGGATTATTATATAAAGTAGATATAAGCTGTTTTTAATTATAAATTTAAGGTTAAAACAAATAAATCAGTTATCTTTGGTGATCATTTCCTTTTTTATATCAAAGAAGGATTTTGGGGCCAGTATTCAATAAATTAATTACACACTTTTTTACTAATTGAATGTCAATAAATATTATGCCAAATTATAATCCTTATTTTAAATAATATAGTGGTATCAACAACTCATTTTGGGGTTCTTGAGCCCGAACTATCTTTTTGTTAGGATGGAACAACAATACATGCCTAGATTTCATCCTCAGTTTTTTATGGGGATGCTATTCATGTCGACTAATCCAGTATAAATTTACGTGGCATACCGTTCCAGCAAGGTTTCATAGGACCAGATGAAAAAATTTAAATAGTAATAATAATAGTAATAGCAATAATATTAATAGCAATAATAGTTTTTGCTAATATACAGTTCGCTCTCTCTATAACGGACCATTTGGCTTATGAAAAAATTATAGAGAATCCGTTATAGACATTAATGATTTATATATTAATATGGGACATATAAATTCTCAGTTCGTTATATATAGAAAGATCGTTATTTTTCAAATTTTTAATAACACTTTCTTTTCATTCAAAATTAAATGTTTATTTTATTAGATTTTCTGCTCAAACAAATAAGTTTAAAATCTTTTTTTTTTAATACAAATAAAGAAAGAAATTAATAATAATGTAATAATAATAATGCTAATGTATATATATATCATTGTCTTTTTAATAATATTAACATTCTTTTTCTAATATTTCTTGACAAGTTTCCAATAACTTGTTATATCTTTTTATGATGCTAAGAGCACCTTCTTCATTACTATGGTCTGATGTTAAATCACCAGTACGAGACGTAATTTTGAAAATAAGTCCTGAAATTTCATTCTAATTTAAAATTAAATTAAAAAATAAAATTTGAGTTTTTTTGTGATATTAAATAGATTATTTATTAATTTAATATTGCATAAATTTTAAATACCAGGTCTAGATTATGATGGTTATCTTCTTTTTCAGAAACGTCTTCTAGTTCAACAGATTCTTTTAAAAATTCAAGATTAGAAAGAAAATTATGTAATCCTTCCAATTTCTATAAACAAAAGAATGAAATATTCATGTAAGTGATAGAAATAAAATGTTAATTGTTATTGAAAAAAAACTAATGATATGCGACCTTTCGATCTTCTTCTTCTTTCTTAAATAATTCTCTTTCCTTGGTCATGTTTTTACTAATAATTTCACGTTTTTGTTTAACTTCTAATAAATCATCCTTTACTTTTTTCATTTGCATTAATTTTTGATTAAAGAATTCATGTAGATTCAATTGCTTTTGAATAATTTCAGCCTAATGTTATTTTATAATTTACAAAATAAAATAAAAAAAGATGTGCATGTATAATTATTAACATATAATTATTAATGATATCAACATTTTGATAAAAAAAATCCTTGACAAAACCTGTTTTGTAAATTGAAGTTCAAATTCTTTCTTGAAATTTTCAATATTATTTTTGTGTGAATCTTCTTCTAACTTATCTCTAATTAAGAAAAAATCAATAAATAAACAAATATTTTATCCAATAATTTAAAAAAAAATCAACTTACAAAAATTCATCAATTGTTTCATTAATGATGTTATGAATCATTTTAATTTCTTCTGTAGGATTTCCAAGTTTTGAATGACTCCTTTTCTTTGCTTTTCTTACAGCATTGCTATCTTCGGCTTTCTCATTAACATTTGATATATGATACTTTCTTGTTTCTGACATAATCTTTTTAAAAATATAAAAATATTAATAAATCGTTAAATATTCATTTATAAGAAATATGATTTACATCGTTATTGTTATAATTACTTGATTGTCATCTTTCAATGAATTTCCTTCTTGATCATTATTTGGTGGATCAATTGTTCTTTTTCTTTTATTAGGATCTGATAAATGTTCAGTAGTAAAATTTTCTTCCGAATCCTCCTCCATTTCTTTTTCTACTAATACTTCTTTATCAGTATCATCTTGAACAGGTACCATGATTGGAATATTGCCAAAAGATGCTGGTTTTTCCAGTATTGATAAAATAGAAATTGGTTTAGCCAATGATGATGCAAATGAAGGTTCAAGTACAAATGTGCCATCAAGCCCTGAGAAAATTTCTTATTAAATTATTATTATTATTTAAAATCAGTAAAGTGATTATGATTTAATTAAAAATTAAAAAATTAAAATTGCTATTTGTTAACTTAAAAAAAATGTCAATACCATTATCATTATTAATTAAAGGTAAATAACTATTCTCTTCTATATCACTAAGTTTAGGTGATTGACTATTTGATGATTGCATGGACATAGATATTTGATCTTCTGGCGTAATTTCCAATGTGGTAAGATTATTGTTGCTGTTTTCATCCAATGCTGTAGGAGACGAATCATTTTTTTTTATTATGGTCAACCCTAAATAATCATTTGGAATAGTTTGTAACGGAATTGATGGTTCATCAATCTCATTTGTAATATCAATATCTAATGTGAATCTGTTAGACTGTTTTCTAGGAAAATCTTTATTTCGTTTAGTCATTCTTCTATTATCAAATAGTTTATAAAAATCAGAATCAATTAATGACATTTTGACAGATGATTCGCTTGGCTTTCCTTCCTCTACTTGAATAGCAGCTGACTTATCTAAAATTTTATTGTTTGATCCGCTTGGCCTTTCTTCTACTTGAACAGCGGCTGATTTACCTAAATATTTTTTGCTTGAATAATTTACTTCCTCTAATTGATTAGGATTAGGTTTATTTGATTCATTTGACTTTGTTTCTTCTGCTTGATCAGTAGATTTGTCTAAATTTAGATTGATTAGACCATTTAGTCTCTCTACTTCTACTTGCTTAGTAGATTTATATAAGTTTTGATTGTTTAAACCATTTTGCCTTTCTACTTCGACTTGCTTGGAAGATTTATCTAGACTTGGATTATTTGAATCAATTGAATTTTCCTGAATTTCTGATATAAGATTAGTAATATTTCCTGTAATCAAAGAAGAAGGAAGTTCAAGATTTTCTATCATCATGTGTGTTTCAAGTTCATTTATTTCTTTGGTGTTTTTAGTATTTCTGGGTGATTCAGGAATTATAAGTGATATAGGTGAATTAGGCAATTTATGTGAATTATTATTAGATGCAGCCGAAATTTGCTTTTGTTTTTTAGAATTATCGTCATCATTTTGTTCATTATTTGAATCATCAAAAATTGATTCAAAGGATATATCTAGTGGATCTACGCCTTCAGGTAATTTAATAGTATTTCTTCGATCCAATCTACATTAATGTGAAATTTTCATAATTAGTAAAAATATAAGAATTATATACGAGAGTATATAGATACAATCATATTTATACGACTTTATAAATTGTTAGCTGTAGACACACCTTGAATTTCTTGTTCTTGTAAGTAAACGTTCTTGATATCTTTCATTGATCTCAAGAGAAGTTTTATTGTTGATACTAACCATGTTTTTTTTCTTATAATATATAAAAAGAATTTATGAATTTATTATTATTATCAGAATAAACGTTCTTCCAAAATAAATTGTTTACAAGTTATTTTCCAAGGAGCAAATAAAAATTTTTAATTATCACGTCTATCCTATATGTACGCGAAAATATTAATATATGAATTCATGATTAATCAATCAATCACACCAATTGATCCTTGTACTACGTATTTATATTTTTTTATAAAAAAATGTCATTTTCTTTAACAAAATCATTACTTAAAAGAACAAATCTTCATAAAAATTTATTACAAACAAGAAGAGCCAGTGGAGGACATGGACACGAACCAGAGTTTAATGAACCAAGTGGTTATTTATTTGGAGAAAAAGTTTGTATTTTTAGAAGTTTATATAATTTCATCTTTGAATGAATTTCAAAATTTATTATTTTTAAAAATACTAGCCACCTCCACCAGGACAAAAACGTGTGAAAGAAGATTGGGAAAATTATTGGTATTATGGTATGGGTGGATCATTATTATTAGGAACAATAATATATTTTTATAAGCCAGATACGAGGTAAAGAAACATTAACATTAATATTGATTTTTTTACATCATTACTAATTATATTTTTGAATTAAAAAAGTGTAAACACTTGGGCAACAAAAGAAGCAGAAAAACGATTACGAGAAAGAAATGTAGTCTTGGATTATCCTAAAACTGAAAAAAAGCTTTAATTTTAATTATTTAAAAAAAATGACAATAAATCACAATTTTATAATCTTTAGATTATGTCAGGAAAAAAATATTGTTCTTTAAAGCTATTCCTCGTCCTATTTTTCACCAAATTGAGATCAAATTCAATTATTGTTTTACATATGACTAAAATTCTCATCACCATCATTGTTATCGTTTTCTTCTCCCAACTCATCCACATCCTCTTTTACATCACTATCTCCTTCTATTTCCTCTTCATCCTCTTCTTCATCAGTAAAACTGTCAATTTGTATATTCTGTAATGAGAATGTTTCGCCACGTTCTAATTTTCGTAAATAAGATCTCTTCTGACGTTCTGACAATTTTGATAAAATTTTTTCATGTTCTTGTTGTTCCCTTAACAATTCTTTATCACTTTTAATACCACTAAAGAATGAAAAAAAAAAAGATTTTGTGAATTAATAGTTTTTTTTCTTACAAAAATGAATCAAAAAAAATTTAATTTGAACCTTTTTATAATTTCATTAGATTCTTGACATTTTGCACAGACATTTTTACCTGATGCACATTTGCTGCATAATATGTGGTAAGCTTCTTTGACATTTTTCTCGTTACAATTAACGCTTTGTTTTAAATGGAAAAATCGAAATTTTATAATTCTAAAAATTCTAAAAATTCGGATTAAAGATTAAATTAAACAATCAATTGTAGATATTCACCATTTTTTAGCAACAGTTAATGTTTTGTATTTTTTATATTTCTTTTTCCATTCAACAATATCTTTACATCTTTTACACCTAAAATTAATCAATCAACGTAAAATTTACACAATATAATATTAATTGTATTATTTTTGTTGTTATTTGTTGCTATTATTATTATCATTATTATTAAGTACATACAATCCATCAATTGGCAAAGAATTTATTATTTTTGATTTCTTTGAATTTTTATTTGGTTTAAAAGCAAAAGAATTTTGATATTTTTGTCCTGGTTTTTTTTTACTACTTAATGAAACTTTTGTCATTTTTTAGATTGATTGATCAACATTTGATCAACATTTATATTAATATATATTTTTTTTATATAATTTTAGGGAATTGTTATTCGCACCTCCATTTTTGTTATTCGAACCCCTCCCGTGACTAAGTGTATTAATGTGACCAATGAATGGCTTTAAAATGTGATGCTTTTATTGGTTCATCCTTGTCTTAGTCACGGGAGGGGTGCGAATAACAAAAATGGGAGGTGCGAATAACAATTCTCTAATTTTATTAGATAATTTCCAAATTAACTTTATGAGGCTATTTATTCCTCTTGAAAATAATTAAAAATATTAAAAATATTAATATTTCAGAAAGAACAATTAAAATAGTTAAATTGAGACTGAATAAACTTCATAGACTGATCTAAATATTACCTAGGGAGCATGAAATCAGAACCAGTATTAATAAAGTTGTTTATTAAATTTAGATAAGAGTTGTTTAGTGATTGGATGAGTATAATTGATTAGCTGTTTATTTTTTAGATTGATGTTGTTTTGCTTTAACCATGAGTTAAATAATCTCATAGTAACAGTTTATTAAACTGTAAGAGATGATGTGGAGCATGGTGGAAGTTGTTTTATGAGAATTAAATATTGAGTAAAGTTGATTATATTTATGGAATTACTCCAGCTGCAGGAATTATAGGAGGAATAGAGGTTGTAGTAATTGTCTAGTAATATGGGAAAACCTTTTAACCTGATAAAAAATTTAAACATATATGCAAGGTAATTAATTACCTGCTCAAATTTGTATAGAGACATACATGTATTGTGTTATTTTATCATCAACAGATGAAAATTTAAAAAGACCCATATACATTAACAATGCTACCCAAATCTGAATAAAGTTTAGTATTCTCATTGATGCCAATTACTTCTAAATCTTCACTTAAATCAACCACATAATGTTCTTTATGTTTCAAGGTACTTTTTGGTTAATGCCAATTATTTTACATTTATGGCCAAGTTTGAAACAACTTTTGAGCCACATTTGTCAATTGGTTGCAAACTTTTATATAATAAATGCTCATCAATTAATTTAAGCTTTGGCAAATACAATTTACAATAAACAAATGTGGATCATTTATAAAGCAGCAAATGCTTTTACAAAGTTCCTTCTTTATCTACTTTTATTTTTCTTTTGCTGATTAAAGCCCTGTTGATTCAGTCTCTTACAAGACTCCTTAAACTGTCTATTTAAGAGCAGTACAACACTAATTTAATTCGACACAATAAAAATGTGTAATAATGACTTTAGTTAATAAATGTCAGCATTTTATATTTTATATCTTGCCAAACAACTTTAATCTGCAATTTGTGATACATGGGAAGGGTTGATATTAATATTAATATACATTTTGGTAAAATTCAGGGTTAATAATCATAAGAAAATTAATTAATAGTCAAAATCTGAATCAGTTTCTATTTATAGAAATTTAAATGTCCATTTTAAATGTAAAGTCTTGTTCCAGTAGGTGAAATGAAACCACATTCACATTATCTGCTAAATGCAAGAGAAAGAGCAAAAGCAAGGTACAACTAAATTGACTGTACTGCTTATTGAAGTCTTTGAAGCATTATAATTTAGTAAATTATTATCATAAATTCTATTATTCTATTATTATTATTATATTTAAAAAATAAAATAGTTTGAAAGATAACAAATATAACAGTTGATTTATAATGAGCAGACATATCAAAATCATCAATTGTCTAAAACATGTTAAATGAATATTTATTTATTATAATTAAATTTAACAATGATTTTTTTCTTGGCTATTCTAGTTTAATGTATATGCTATTAATACTACTATATAACATTGCATTAATTAATTTTCTTCTTTGTCAAAAAAATAGATGGTTTTGTGTACAACCAGAAAGAATTGTTACGCGACCATTGTTAATTATTTATATTTATTACTATTATTGTTTAGACACTGGTAAAAATGTCAAATTTGGCTTGCAGTAAATGTTTGTATGCACAATTTTGGTTAATGAAGGTCAAACTTTTGATAAAATTGTAAAAACCTTTAACTATTGTTTATTTTTTTGCCAATGGTAGAAGTAATAATACTACTATTGTGCAAAATCACATGATACTTCAAATTTTTTGAGTATAGATGATCTGCACTGTAGTGAACTTTTTATTGGCTGTGTAGATCTTTCATGAAAAACCAAAAACCGTAGTTTAGACCTTTCTCTACAAAGTTACGTAAGAATGAAAGAATTGAAATTTTTTTGTTTTTTTTTTTTATGTCTGCGTAACAGTTCTTAATATTAAAAATAAAAAAAACAATTTTTTATGGTCGCGTAAAAATTCTTAAATCGTTAATCTTTTAAAAAAAAAAATTACAATAATAAATCTCTGCATAAAATTCTGCCAACAATTATTGCCTGACTTTTATGCAGTAACTAATACTAACCGTATGCGACAAGGTTGGCAAATGTGTGGTCCATTGGTGGTCTATTGGTGATCCATTGGGTCCATTAGTGTAACATTTTATTGATGGCAATGGACCAGTCAATTTGCCAACCCTGGTACGCAATACTTTAAATGACACGTGACAAGTAAAGTAATTGATGTTATGGCGCAGAAGTTCAACGACTAATACTAATACTAGCGCTTTTCAACACCGAATTTTCAAATAGTTATTAGTAATCGTGTAACTTGTTCCAACTGCTTTTTTAATATATATAGCCGAACATGTACGGATAATCAATTAATACCCAAAACAAGAAACAAAGATAAAAACATGATCACAATTGTTTAATAATTGGGTGTAATTTTGATCGTAATTTCCTTTTGACGTTAATATTAATGTTCACTTTGTCTAGTTTGGTTACAGCCTGTTCCATATATAAACGATAAAGTTTTGGAATCTAAATTTTGGAGAGAAGAGAACAAATAAAAATTAATCGTATAATATTTTAATTGTTTGTTACTGTTATTAATAGACATTAAAAAAAGATTTTTAACATATATGTAATTCAATATAATGTAATAATAAAAACAACAGAAAAACAATTTCCATTATTAGCGCTAATGAAAAACTCGAACTTTATTTGTTGTATCACACATAATTAAAAAATAAATTATGCAATTCCAACAAATTTATTTTGATTTTATATTTTTTAAATCTTATCGTTAGATTTATAATGTTAAAAAATACTAAAAATATTGAACTACGTTATGCCCCCCCAAAAAAAGTCAATGCACGTTACTCGAAACAAGAATTAGTTGGTAGAGGTGCTTACGGTGCTGTGTATAAAGGGTTGGCATTAGAAGAAAATATATTTAATTATAAAAAAAATTTTTCTAAAAGGCAAATTTTTAAATTAGTTAATTCCTTTTCTCCGTGTGTGTATCTTTATACACACAGAATAGATAATGATACAAGTAAAGTCGTAGCAATAAAAGTTTTAAATTTAGATACAGAAGAGGATGATGTTGATGATATTATCAAAGAAATCAATTTACTCTCACAAATTAAACAGAGTGATTCAAGAAATATAACCAGATATTATGGAAGTTTTCTTCATGGCACTAAATTATGGATTATCATGGAATATGCAGCAGGTGGAAGTATTAGAACTTTGGTATGTATTATAATAATTATTGTTGTTATTGTTATAATAATAATATTTATTTAAACAGATTCTAGTATTTTAGTTTACATTTAAAACTAAATTATCAGTCAATCAATTGTTGAAATATTTTTAGATGAAGGCAGGCCAAATAGAAGAAAAATATTTATCTATTATAGCAAAAGAAGTAATACAAGCTTTAATCTATTTACATAGATGCAAAATAATTCATCGTGATATTAAAGGTTTTGCGATAAATATTATTTATGTATACATATATATATATATATATATAATAATTTAAATAAATAATAATTTATTTATCTTTATTAATAGCCGCAAATATATTATTAACTGCTGAAGGTAAAGTTCAACTGTGTGATTTCGGAGTTGCCGGTCAACTAACTGCTTCTTCAACAAAAAGAACATCATTTGTTGGCACACCGTATCCTTTCTAAATAGATAGTATATTTATGTGTTAATGTTATGCGTGAATTTGAATTTAAAATTATTTCCATAACTTTTTTTTCTTTTAGATATTGGATGGCACCCGAAGTAATTATCGAAGGTGCAACCTATGATACTAAAGTTAGTAGTAAAAAATTTAAAAATTATTATCATTATGAAATAATAATATTAACGATTTTTTTACTTTGTAAAATAATAATAATAATAATAAAGGCTGATATATGGTCTTTAGGAATTACTGTATATGAAATAGCTACAGGAAATCCGCCATATCATGATCAAAATGCTATGAAAGCAATTCAATTAATTCCTAAAAAGCCACCTGCAAGATTAGAAGGAGTATATTCACAACATTTAAAAGAATTGGTTTCACTTTGTCTTAATGAAAATTCAGAACAGGTATTTTATAATTTATTTATTTAATATAATTTATTCTAGTATTATTATTAACATTATTTGATGTTTTTGTTAAAGCGACCAACAGCAGATGATTTATTGAAAATTAAATTTGTAAAAAGTGCAAATAAACATCAAAATGGAATATTACGAGATTTAATTGCAAGGTTTGAACATTGGAAACAAACGACAGGATATCGTCAATCATTTTCCGATCCATCCTCAAGGTATCGTTATTATGATAAAATCAAATAAATATATATGTGTGTGTACGTATATGTATATGTATACGTTAAATAAAATAAATCTTTCAGTAAAAAGGGTCAACACGAACGTGAAAATCGCAATGATGATATCGATTCATGGAATTTTGATGTAAGTTAATGTTAATTTTATTATTACAAAATTAAATGATTTATTAACTCTAAAAATACTAATGTTGATATTAATAATAGACCGCGAGAAAATCCTCACATCATCGTAAATCACGTTCTTTAGGATCACTCACAAATTTTCCAGACAAATTGTCACCTGTGGTCGAAAGTGATGAACAAATTATCAAAAATAATAGTAGTAGTAATAATAATAATGATAATAATAGTGAAGAGAAAGAAGAGAAAACCATGATACCTAGAGATGCTACTATTAGGTACGGACGCATACTTGCTGATGAACTCATGTCACCGACAAAACCAATGTATCTAAGAAAATATTCAGAAAATCAACATCCACTACAATTATTATTTAACACCGATGATCAAAAACAACAACATCAACGACAGAATAGTGGCAATAAAGATTCTTATTCAAAGAACTTTTTCGATAGTCCAACCATATCTATTCCATCAGATAATGACGAGGTTATCAATTTTTCAGATTTAGATGGCCCGCCTTCTTCACGAACAATGACAAAAGAACTACTTCAATCTCAATATGATAACCAAACAAAAGATGCATCTTCTACAGAAAATAATGACAATGTTAATGGTAAAGATGGAAAAGATCGTATAACAGGCTTAAATCCTTCGACATCATCGGAACTATTAACGGCATCATCAACATCATCCTTTTCTTCCTCGTCGTCAACGTCAACGTCAACGTCAATATCAACATCAACATCATTTTCTTCCTCTTCTTCGACATCATCAACATACTCGTTAAATAAATATAACAATAATAATAACAACAACAATACTAATAACAAGATAGTCAAATCACCAGAGATTATAGTTCCATTCGATCCATCACCTTCACAAAAAATTGTTTTAACACCGGTCGAGGAAATTAAAACTTCAAACGATTTATTATTTCCTAACTCAGCATCAAATAATGATAATAAACCTTCTCTTAACAAAGGCCCGTTTAAATTCATGATGACTCCAGTAAGACATGAAAGTTATGATGCATTACCATTACCAAACAATAACGATTTATCATCAGGTATACCATTATACAGGTCAAAAAGTCAAGGTAAAGAACATCCTCAGTATGCAAGAAGAGTTAGATCTGCGACAACTTTAAATCAAACAAAATCCCATGCTGAAGAATTATTAGGACAAAAAAAAATAAATAACAATAATAGTTATTATGATGATGATGACGATGGTTATGGTATTAACACTAAAATAAATGGTAATTTGGCTTTGAACGTGCCAAGACAAAGAAGTGTTAGTGATGTACAAAAAACTTCAAAAGCTAAACTTTTAGTCGAAGAACCTGGACAAATCAATTATTTACTTCCACCGTCGCCATCTTCAAATAAATCAATTCTAAATCGCTCATCATCACCACCACCACCACTACAGCCGCCGCCACCAACACCCACCAACATATTAACAAATCAACCTTCACCTACACGACCTATACAATCTTCGGCTATTATAAAAGATGGTCCTGAGATAAGACCATTAAAAATGGATAATTATCGTGGAACTAGTGAAGTATTTGAAGACTTAACAAAAACCACTGAGGACTTCCTGCAATGGATGATATTATTAGACGCAGGAATAAGTCAATTATTGACAAGATCTTAATCTTGTAAAAATTATTTATTTTATTTAATTTCACATATATTTAAAAAGTCATTAGATATATTAGATATTAAGTTATTTTATTTTTAGAAAAGAATGTTTATAAAAGTTTGTTTAATATATTAATAAATATTATTTTTTTTATTCAATTTTCTCCCAAAAAATTTATATATCTATTACATCATACACACAACAGCATTTTTTATTTATTTATTTATATAATTTCCCTTTGCAATGTACATTGTTTTTTTTCAATTAATTCTTTTTGGGATAAAAAAAATCAAATGATAATAAAAAAGACAATATGGCTTGTCCTGCTTGAACAATTAAATATTTTCAAAATTCACTAATTTTTTCTTCTTTTTTTTCGATTTAACTTCTTCCATATCATTCCAAATTTCTTCAAGTTCCTTCTCATCATTATTAGCTTTTTTTATTTCATCTAATAATCAATAAATTTAAAAAATTTAATATAAATAATATACACACACAAATATTTGAACAATCGGGGCCTGTTCAATAGAAGCAAGGAATGTTGGCCAAAAGTCAATTTTTAGTTATCACAAAGAACATTTTAAGCTTAGAAACCATGCCCATTTAAAAAGTAAATGGGGCACAGAATTAGGGTAATTGCGATTTTGAGCTAATAACACTTCTATATACAACTCACCACAAGGATTAATTTTAGCTTAGAAACCATACCCACTTTACATAATATAATTTAGAGATATTTTCTGTCAAAAAACAATAGCGAAATGCAAATCTTTTTTGATTTTCTCATAACATGATTTTTTCAACATTCCTGAACAGGCCCCAATTATATATTACTATTGTTATTTTTATACCTTCATCATTTACCAAAACAGATGTAAGATGTTGTTTTAAATAAATTTTTTGTAAAAGATTATGTTTTCCACTCATTTCATGTACGCGTAAAAATCTATCGAGTGATACTGTTACTAAATATGTTGATTTTGAATCAACTTCCATACTTGAAACTGCACCAGCAAATCCTTTATTAAAAATAAAAAGTACGAGATGGTGAAAAATAAATGAATAAATTTTTTTTTAAGCAACTTAAAACTTTTTTTAAACGATGATACCTTTAAATTGCCCTAGATTCTTTCCTGTTTAGTAATTTTATATAATAATTGTTAAGTGAATCAATATAAAATATATCTTTACATTAATAATAATAATAATATCATCATCATTATTATTAAAATGATTATATTATTTACCTGTTCTTACATCGATAGAAAACAAATTTCCAGCAGTGTTCGAAAACAAAATTTCACTAATTAAAAATAAATATTCAAAATAATTATTATCTATTTCTAAAAACTAAAAGAATTTCTGTTTAAATACCAACTTCAAATTTCTGCCTACAATTAACGATACCACGGGATGTTCACCTATGCTTAAATCCAAAACTGGTCTTCTTTTTACTTTAGTATCATATATTCTTATCTATGCAAATAAATTAAAGAGATTATTATTATCTAAAAAAAACAATTAAATTCTTTACCAATTCAAATTATTATATCATCGTCTTTATCATCATGTTCATCATTAACTACCTGATTATATTTTGTACCAACTACAATTTTTGTAGCATCATCGTTTAAAAATTGCATATCTGTATTCCATACTGGAACTCTCAAATCCAAAAAATCATTTCTCAAGTTTTTAGCTTTCCATATTAATCCTGGCTTAGATTCTTTTTTTGATTGTGAACTGAATGGGCAACTTCCCTCTTTATAAGAATTCACATCCCATATCGCCAACTCACACTCTTTACCACAGCATCCAAATATATTATGTGATTTTGGATGTACTCTTAACTTACACAAATCTTTTGAAATCGAAAAACTTGTAATTGGAAATGATGATTCCTAAAAATTAAATTATAAAAAAAATTTTTTTTAGGCATCTTTTAACAAACCAACTAATAGAAATTATATATAATTACATTATCAATTGAAATTGGTTGATAAGTAATTATACCCGTCTTGGCATCACATGTTACCAAAGTACTGGAAAAGAAAAAAAGAAACCCATTTGTTAAAAAAAATTATAAAAAAAAAAAAAATCATTAAAAAAATTTATAATCACCTACGTAGAATTGGCAAATAAACCAACAAATTGCACACATTCTATTTTATTATCAGAAATTTGTTCATGTGTAAACTCTTTCATGGCTTTACCTTCCTCATTTGGATCAAGTATATGTATTTTTCCATTTTTACGTGCAACTATTATCTAAAAAAAAGAAATTATTTTAAGTATACAAGTATATATTGATTCAAGCAATTATTAATGAAAATTTCAGCGAATAACCTGTTGTTGTTCACTTTTATCATATATTTTTGCTTGATACATCAATTGGACACCTTGTGCCCGATCAATTTTACCCCATTTTTTGATGATAGGTGATGCTTCTTTTTGCGAAAGATTTGAAATTGTGATTGCTGATTAAATTTAGTTTATTAATGTTTAAGTTATATTAATTTATTAAAATTTTCAAATTTTTATTAAATTAATATTTATTATTTCCTTATCTACCTTTTATCAAGCCAACTTCGTCTCCAGTATAAAATTTCATAATTTTTTTTGTCAATTTTTTTTCTGTCGACAAAATTTATGAAGATGATTTCCATATTTGGTTAGCACGCTCCCTCCGCACTTGAATTTATTTTTGCCAACAACTTAAATTGATAATGTGTCTAGCTTTATTATTTAAAATATTCGGAATTATATATATGTATTGAACTGATCGACATTGCAAAGGAAAATAGAGATATCCATTCAACTATGATGCCAAGTTCATTTATCATTGACAATGGTTAAATTAGGATGTTTAAGTTGTTCGATTACATTTCACACATGCACATTTAGATGTCTTGAATTTTTGGGGAACGATTGCAATAGCCAGCAAAACAAGCAGAAAGTACTTTTAATATTTGACTTATGACCCAACAGACAGGCGTGTTTTTTTCTTGATTTGATCCAAACTTTAATAACCATAAAGTTATATCCATATAAAAGTTTAAATAACTTACATCTTCTTGACCACTATAAAATTTTTTTTAGGGTAATATTGAAAAATAGTAAGCTTTGAAGTGAAAAGTAATGCTGTTTTTGAATAATTGTTCTGAAAGAAGATTCGTCGGAAAACTTTATGGCACAGTTTTATGTTAAAAAACAATTAGTCGGTTACACGATTCGATAATAAATGTTAGATCATACATAAATAATCAAATGATCGATCGATAATTAATAATACATAAATAATAAAGTCAAAGTTCAAAATTTTTCCACGAAAAAAAAGTTTTAATGCCATTGTTTCACCAAATTAAATTTCAAAATATTATTTCACGCTTTCCAGAATTTTTATTTTCCTCCTCATTTAAACCTTCTTTGATAACCAAAAATAAAAATATTTTTCAAGGTATATATATATAATTCTGTTGGCCCAACCTTATCTATTTTATAAAGACCAATCAATTGATTCAATTAATTACATTAACTATAACCTAAAAAATAGTACAAAATTGTTATTCTTATAGTATGGCGTGGTATTGTTCAGGTAAAGATATCATTGAGCAAAAATGATTTATAGATAGAAAGAATTCGAGGTAAAATGATTTTAAATATATTTTTCCAATTATCATCATTACTGATCATATATATATATATACATCATAGCAAAAAGTAATGATGGTTTGGTGGAAAATTTAAAAAGAGCAGATATTATTAAATCAGAAAGGGTTGTAACAGCAATGAAATCTATTGACCGAAAAAATTATGTAGAATTTGAGCCATATCGTGATTCACCTCATAGTATAGGTTATGGTGCCACCATCTCTGCACCGTAAGTACTTTATATTTTGATTTATGATGTTTTTTATGAACAAGTTTTATTATTGCAAATGTAATATCGGCCTTTTTTTCTTTAAAGACATATGCATGCATATGCATTACAAAGCTTAGAACCATTTCTACAGCCTGGAATGAAAGGTGAGGCATTGATTGACCATTCATAGATTTTTTTTCTTCGTTGTATATTGATATTATTGTATTATATAAAAAACAGCTCTAGATATCGGATCTGGATCTGGTTATTTATCAGCATGCATGGCTCAAATGGTATTAATTTTTTTCTAAAGAAAAAAAAATTTGAAATATAAATATTTAACCTTACATTTTTTTTAAAAAAAAGGTTGGACCTGGTGGCAAAATTATTGGAATAGATCATATTCCCGAACTTGTAAATAAAGCCATAAATAATGTAAAAAAAGATAAGCAAGAACTTCTAGATACTAAAAGATTAAATTTTATTGTTGGTGATGGTAGAAAAGGTTATCCGGAGGAAGCACCTTATGATTGCATGTAAATATTTTTATTATTTTCATATTTAATAATGTTTTTTAAAAATATATATTTAATATTTTTTGTTACTCTAGTCATGTTGGAGCTGCAGCTAAAGAAACACCAGAAGCATTAATTGATCAATTGAAATCACCTGGCCGGTAATTATTATAATTTTTTTTAAAAAAATGGATCATACAAAAAAATATTTCATGTAAATTTCTTTTATTTAGAATGTTTATTCCTGTGGGTAGTGGGCATCAATCAATTTATCAAATTGATAAAGACAATGATGGAAATATCATAAAAAAGGTTTTAATGGATGTTTCGGTAGGTATAAAATTATTATTCAAGTTTTTTTAATAATTAAATATTTAATTAATTACTAATTATTGTTATTTTAAATAATTAGTATGTTCCACTTACTGATGCTCATAAACAAATAAATTAAATAGTTAATTTAGCAAATTTTAAAAAACATTTATAAATAATTTTATATTAAAGCATTACATAGTATTTATTATTAATATTGGTGGCGGTAATTAATAATTTATTTTCAATTTGCCTTTGACGCCATAGTCTTTGCTTTACCATCAGGTATATAAATAAATTTAGGGATTGTTGTTAAAGTAGAAGTAATATTATTGTCTAGTATGTAAAAACCTTTACGTTCAAATTGAATGATATCGCCTAGTTGATAAAACAACAAATTAATAATAATAAATTTAAAAAATATATATTCAAAATTAAGTGTGTGTGTATATATATATATACCTTTCTTTAAATCCTTAATGTTTGAATCTGCAATAGCCTTTTCAATAAACTCGGTTTTCTCAGTTATACAATCCTCAATTTTATCAGCTTCTTCCAATTTACGTCGATTAATCAAATAATCATAATCTATTAATTCAATTTCAACATTATGTTGGTAATTATCATGAGTTTCCGATTTTTGTGTTGAAGAAAAATCTGATAACCAAGTGATTTTCTTTTTGGTTTTTTTGAAATCGCCTTCCAAATGTAGTTTTACTTCTAATGAATTGATTTTATCAGGGTTTTCTGGTGATTTTATAATCGATTTTACTATCGCGTTACCCCAATCCATTAATGTAATCTAAAATCAACGCATAAATAAATAAATAAATATATAATACTAGTGTTTATAATAGGCTATTTATTGAATAAACTTCTTTTACTACCTCTTCATTCAATTCAAAAGATTTAGCATCTTCTTGTTCAACCAAGATGTTTGGAGCGTACCAGGTTTTTTTTGATCCAATATTTGCATTTTTTTTATGTTTTGGCATCAATTTAAATTGAACATTTTCAGGCCCTTCTAATATTTTAACTTTTACGCTGTGTATATGATGTATTAATTTATTATTATTAATATTACTATATTATAAATATATAATCAATTAATTTCAATCAAATAAAATTAAATTAAAAAACTTACACATCTTGTTCAAGTATAGCTGTATGTCTAGGTGCAATTGGATCAATAATCTTTTTATTAAGTGCCCAGAGTTTATCCCATTCCAACATGACATCATTTTGAGAAGCTCCTTGCGACAAAATATATTGTTTTAATGCTTCCACTTTCAAGCCTCTTCGTCTGATCCCTTAATGCATAAAATAAATATATAAATATATATATTTATATATATAAGAATTTTTTTATATAGAAAGTTTTCTTTTCTTGTACCTCTAATAGTAGGAAACCTTGGATCATCCCAACCACTTGCATATCCTTGGTCAACAAACCATTGTAATTTACGTTTAGACAATAAGGTGTATACAAAATTCATACGACTATAAATAAAAAAACAAAATGAATTAAAAAACTCTTATTTATAAGTAGTAGCGATAACCAAGAACAATAAAACAACACTAATAAAATCAAGATGAAATACCTAAAGTCCCAAACATGAACTTTTCTTAGGTTTAGAGAGTCGATAAACCAATAATATTGCGCATTACGATCTCTATACTCATTAGTTCTTAATGCGTGAGTAACACCTTCAATTGAGTCAACTACAGGACATGCGAAATCATAGGTTGGATAAACTATCCATTTATTACTATTCAATAAATGATAAATATTTTATTGCATGTTTAAAGAAATTAGCTATTTATCCATTTTTTTAAAAAAAAAAGTTTTATAATAATTATTAAATTTAACATACCCAGTGCGATGATGAGATAATTTGTTGCATCTGTAAATAACAGGGTCTCTAAGAGCTTTATTTGGATTGCTCATATCAATCTTAGCTCTCAAACAATAACTCAATGCCTTTATTTAAAAATTATCATTAATATTTTATAATACTTTTCAAATAATTTTTATATATATTTTACTAACAGAATCAGTTCCCTCTTTCATCTCTTTCCATGTTTTAAGATTCACATCAACAGATGAATCACGATTTTTTGATGGAATTCCCTCCATACGTTCTTGTCTCATCTTTTTATTTTTTAAAATTAATATTTGTATAGTTGAATAAAGAGTTTTTTTGTGAAATAAAAATAAAAATAATCGATTGATAAAATACCGTTGCTACATCAGTATCATCGACATAGGCTAAACCTTTTTTAATCAATTCAGTTGCATAATTATAAAGTTCTTCAAAATGATCTGAAGTGTAAGTTATTTCGTCTGGTCGAATTCCTAATAATTCTAAATCTTCTTTTATTGAATCTTCAAATTCTTCCTAAAATTTGCATATCATAAAAAATTAATTAATTAATTAGAAATATATTTAGTTCAATACATATATAATTTATACTAACCTTTTCTTTACTTGGATTTGTATCATCAAATCTAACAATCAATTTTCCTTTATATTCTTGAGCAAAATACTGATTTAACATGGCAGCCTTTGCGTGACCAATATGTAAATAACCACTTGGTTCAGGTGGAAATCTCGTTACAACTTTTCCAACTTGTGCATTTACAAGTTCAATATTCATATTTGGTTGATCTGATCTCGCCTATATATATATAAGTATTGAATAAATGTAATTACAAATAGATGATAATCGATAATGAATAATAATATTAATGAATAATTCACACTTTAGTTGATGAAATTGCTTTAGTTGTCCAACTGATACTATTTTGTACAAAATCTAATGATCCGATGTAATTAAACCATCTAACAATATGCACTCCTGTATTTTTTCCAGATTTAAGTCGGCTATTAAATATTGCAGAACCTATTATTATTATTTATAATAAAGAAGATTTCCTTAATCATAAATATACAGATTATATAATATATAATAATATTATGATTGTCATCATCATCATCATCATCATCATCATTATGTACTTTTCAATGCTCCCCATATAATAATATCTGCCAATGTAAAATTGTATTGAACAAAAAAAGTTCTTAATGTTAAATGGTGATTGATTTCATCCAATGCTTTATCAAGTTTCTTGAAATCTGTAGTTTCCAAATTATCAATTGAATAATCTATCCATTGATCAATCTAATCAAAAAAATAACTTTTCAATGATTATTTAAAAAAATTTTATTTTAAAGAAAAACTTTTTTATTACCTGCTTTGTTATCAATTCATTATCACCATGCAAATTTATCAAATTAAAGTGCTTGGCCAAATATTTTGCCACATCACTTGTTTTTTTTAAAGTCGTACTATTTAACAAACAACAACAACAACAATAATAATAATAATAATTCAATTATCTTTTTTTAAATTTTTTAAATAATTAATAATAGCAATTATCAAATAATATACTCATTAGTCTCCAGAGTAACACTGCTTTCAGAATTTGCATCAACATTCCATTCAATTACAAGTTTATCCAAAATTTCTTGCTTAGAATTAATATAGTGTGCCAATAAAATTGGACCTAAAAAACAATTATGTATATATTAGTAGTATCAGGAAAGTTGTTATTCACAAATCACATTATATATATGTTATTATTACCATAAGGTACAATGTTTCCTTGCTTTGAAAAGGTTATTTTAATCGACATCTTTAATTTAAAAAAAAAAATTTTTTTTTTCAAGCCTCTTTTTTGAATTTTTTTATTATCTGTTCAACCAATCAAAAATTTATCCATAAAATTGTGTACACTAATTACCAAATATTCGGGGTAAATAAATATTTAATTTAATGGTCAGTAATGAGCATTCCAACAAAATCTACTTCACTTGTAAATAGGTACATTCATCGCACGGCAACTATAGATAAGCCATGTTTCATATGTAATAAATATACAACAGCAGTTTTAAGAGAAGAGAATGGTGCTGATTGGTTCTATGTGTGTCTAAGGTTAATATACTAATATTTTTATTTAAATTACCATACCACATCCTAGCATGATTGTTTAATATTTAATTTATATGCTATTTTTTTTAAAAGTCACTTAAACGATCGAGGCTTTGCATCACCAATTCCTGAACCAGTTCCACCTGTGCAAATTGCAAACAAAACTTCTAAAACGACTGATAAAGAAGAAAAAGATAAAAAAGATAAAGAAGATAATAAGGATAAAGATAATAAAGATATTAATAACAAAGATAATGATAACACAGATGAGAAGAAAAAGGATGATGATAAAGAAAAATCAAAAGATGTCGTAAACAAAGAAAAGGACGATAAACCAAAGCCAAAACCAAAACCAACGCAGCAACAATCACAACCACCACCAAAACCAAAAAAATATATTTTACACCGTGATATTTTTTATTTACGTGAAAAAAAAATTTTAAACATTCAAAAAGAAAAAGAAGCTCAACGTACCTTAAATTTATTACCAAGTGTTCCAAAATCTAAATTAGGATAATATTTATTTATTTATTTATTTATTTTATTAAATTAATTATTTTTTATTTATTTAAAAGATATAATTTTACAATAATATTGATATTTATGATTTTTTTAATGATTAAAGATTTTATTAATAAAAAATAAATGCTTTTAATTAATAATCTAAAGATATGTTTTAAATACATGAATATAAATTAATAAATAAACTAACAAATGATAATACATACATTATTTAAACCATTCTGGTGATTCTTTTTGGTAATTTTTTGATTTGGCTTTTGTAATTCATTTTTGACAATGACTGTTAACACTTTAACAGTCGTATTTGCTTTTTCTTTTAATTAGTTGATGTCTTTTCTTGGGTAAACCACATGTCTCTATAAATTCCATCTTCTTTTTGAATAAGTTTATCATGAGATCCACGTTCCTTTATTACGCCATCTTTTAATACAATAATTTCATCTTTTTATATTTCAATATAATAAATAATAAATAAATTCATTAAATTTTCTAAATAGCTTTTGTATAATTTATATAAATAAAATATTCAAGTAAAATTTTTTACCTGCGTCAATAATAGTTCTTAATCTATGTGCAACAAATACACTTGTTTTCTGACTTCCTCGAAGAATGCTTCGTATATTTTCTAAAAGCGATTGTTCAGTATGTGTATCAAGCGCAGATGTAGCTTCATCAAAAAACAAAATTGGTGGATTTTTTAATATTGTCCTTGCCAATGATATTCTTTGTTTCTCGCCACCAGAAAGCATCAAACCACGCTCCCCAACACGTGTGTCATATTTATCTGGTAATGTCATTATCACATCATGTATATTTGCACGTTTTGCTGCATTTTCTATCATATCACTGGTTGCTTTTATATTTCCATATGCAATATTATAATAAATAGTATTATTGAAAAGTGATGTCTCCTAGATAAATAAAATATACAAGATTTTAGCTTTACAAAGTAAATTATTGCTTATTTATGATTATTATCACACCTGAGGAACCACGCCAATATTTGATCTTAAACTTTCCAATTTAATATCCTTGATATTTTGTCCATCTATATAAATATTGCCATTTTGTGGATCATAAAAACGAAATAATAATCTCAAAATACTTGATTTTCTATATATTATGAAAAATATTTTATTAGTATGTTATTTACAAAAAAAAATTATTTATTAAATATTTAGAAAGACAAATTACCCGGATCCACTTGGTCCTACAATTGCAATTTTTTTGCCTGAAGGTACTACGAAATTCACTCCCTTAAAAATCGGACGGTCAGAATGATAGCCAAATACCACATTTTCGAATCTAATTTCTCCACCTTTAAAAACTAAAGGTTTTGAATGAGGCGAATCCTAAATTTCATAGAATTAGATTAGAAATTTTTTTTTACTCATACAGCTTAAATTAGCAATATTGTATTTATTTAGTTCTAAACACCTTGATTGTCACATTCAATTGTTGTAAATTAAACATAACATCCATATCAATCAAACTTTGTCTTAACTCTCTGTAGACTGAGCCAAGAAAATTTAAAGGTAACGATAATTGAAATAGAAGTTGATTAACCATTACTAATTCACCAATAGTCAATGTTCCTAATATACAAGATTTTTATCAACGTTATTTCCTTTTTTAATAATAGTAATAAAATAAAAGATGAATACAAATTACCTTCGATGATACCATTTGCTGCCAAAAACATCATCCCAGTAAGAGCACTACTAAATATAAAATTTTGCCCAGAGTTTAGGAATGCTAAGGAAGTTGCAATTTTTAAAGATGCTTTCTCATATTTATGTAAAGCTTTGTCATATTGTTCAGTTTCAAAATTTTCATTATTAAAATATTTGACGGCCTCATAATTGAGCAATGAATCAACTGCTACTGTCGCTGCTTCGTTATCAGCTTTATTTGCCTCTTTTCTGAATTTTGTTCTATTAATAATTAACGGAAAAAAATCAATTAATTTCCGGTTAATATTAATCGTCTAACTTTCAAAAAATTACCGCCATGAAGTTGTTTTAATAGTAAAAAAAGTATAAGTTGCCATTGCTGTAGCTGCAACTGCTGCAAAGTCTGTTCCAAATTTATATGACTACAATTTATTATTTCATAATTAATTAATTGATTGTTTGTTATAATAAAAATAAAATAAATAATTATTATCATTTGTAATATATTTTATTCTTACCAAAATTCCACAAACTACAGAAATCTCAAACGCAGTCGGCAAAACGTGAAAAACAATCGAAGAAAGCAAAAAACTTATTCCTCTATATATTAAAATAATTCATTTGATTAAGAAAACATTTCCTTTTAAGTGTTTATCAAAACTTATCCAATTCGTATTTTTTTTCATAATTATAAAATAAAACCAAGTATTTTTTCTATGTATCACCACACATACTTTGTTCCGCGATCAATGGCTCTACTTAATCCTCCTGTTTGTCTTGATAAATGGAAATTTAAATCCAATCGATGCAAATGATAAAACACATTCTTTGCTACTTGTCTAATTGCTTTTTGAGCCACGTTGGCAAATATTGCATTACGAAGTTCCTGAGAAAGTGTCCCGCAACCCCTTGCCAAGCCATCTTATTAAATATAATTTAAATATTTCCTTATTTATATAATAAAATTAATCAATTATAATTATTTTTTATATTCTTACAGCCAATAATCATTGCACCAGCAACTGTCCAAACTGTTCCAAATTGACTTGCATCCATATTTAGAGAATCAATAATATTTTTGAACAAGAATGGAACTTGAACATTTAAAATCTGTATAATAAAAAAATCACGTTATAAATATTATTTTATTATAAAATCTATGTAAAATATTTTTTAAAATTACCTTTCCGCCTACTAACAAAGATAATGCCATAACAACACGGATTTTAATAGATAAATTATCCTTTGGCCATATATACCTTGTCAAATTTTTTATAATATGCCAATCAGCAGATGATTGTAATGCTGATTTTGAAATTGTATCGGTGGCAGCAGGAGGTCGAGAAACAGGATTTGTTGGTAATGGTGATGGAGATTGTTGTTTAGTTACATCTTTTGAAATTTTAAATGAAGGTTTTGTATATTCACGAATAATTTGTTTAAATGTCTTTAAATACTTATGAAACGTTCTTTTATTAGATTTATAACCCAAAGTATATATGTGTGTACATATATATATATATTTGAATTCTTACTAATGCTTCTTTAGTTCTTAAAGGTTGTCTGATTATCACCCTAAAGGTAGGTCGCGAGGTATGAAAAGTACGAATTAATATAGAAGTTGTGCTCTAATAATTTTTTTTTCAATAAACTTAAATAAGTTCAAAATTGATATATATATAACTTTGCTAATTCATTAAAAAAAATTTTTTTCACCACTTTAAAATAATTGATATTAATTGCTTTCAACATCCTTTTCCAATTGTCTATTTATTTTCTCAATTAGCTTTATAATCATGTGATTTTGTTACTAATAACGCATGAAAATCTTTCTAAATTTGTTAGAAGTCCCGTGAAAAATGCGAAGAAATTGATTTTTATTACTATTACGATAACTAGATAGAGTAGCGAGTAATAATCACCACCACCACCTTTTTTAATATACAGGAAAAAAAAAAAATATGTATAATTCTAATTTTTATAAAGAAATATATATAAATAAACATATATATATAAACGAAACGAATATATAATAAAAAATATACAAAAAATATACTTGGTTTTATATAACCATACTAATAATACCCGTTATCAAAAACACCACGATTTTTATTATCAGTACTGATACTACTACTACTATTGTTGTTATTGACACTACTGCTGCTATTATTATTATCAAGATTGCTATTATCATTGTTGTTACTACTAACAATACTATTATCATGTATGTAGTTTACTGATCTATTAGTTCTGTAGTATGTAGCAGCTGAAAATGTGATTGTATTTCTTGGTTGTCATGATAACTACGATTGTTGTACTATAATAAAAGGATCCACCCTCGGCATAATTATGGAAGTGGGTATGTGCAAATCTAAATTAAAATTAATTGTAGTTTGGAACTCATCCATTCTTCGAAATAAGCTGTATTTTTATTTGTATGATCAGAACCTCCCACGAAACGGATAATTCTGGATTTGAGCAACACTTTAATCGTTAATAAGTTATATTTAATAAATAAATTTATACGCATAAGGTAGGTATGTACAGAGAAAAGAAGAAACATCTTTCCCAAGTGAGGGAGGAACTTCAAGCGAGACATTATTTTTAAATGAAGGGAAATAGTGGAAAACTACACTTAAAAATAAACTTCACTTGAAGTGGAGGACTACACGACTTCGAAATTGTTTTCCATAAAATTTTTTTCAAGTTACACGGATATGACTTGAATTTAAGATCTTCATCACAACTTTTTTCTGCACAAGTATTATCAAGAAAAATACATTTTTTACAAAGCAAACTCAATCATGTCTCAAAGGAGTTATATACCCCGAACTCAAACTCCGAGATGTAACAAACGTGATTATCATTTATTTATTTGTTATCTGTTTTAGTGTACTGTACGTATACATTTTTTTAAAATAAGATCGTCATAAATAACAATATTATAATATTATCGTTTTTTCCTTTAAAATAACATGCCACAATCATAATTACTCTTAATTCCAACCAATTATTCAAAAAACGAAAATGATATGTTTGTAAAACTAAAGCTAAAGCTAATATACATGTATATAAGAAAGGTTCGTAGTTTTTTATGCAAACAAAATTTCCTTATTTGTATTAGGTAATAAACTGAACACATGCATGACTTTTCATCAATTCTTAATTTAACGTTAACGTTAAATAATTTTATCAAACAAACAAACCAAACCACGGGTTTAAATTTATAATTTCCATCAAAACCTTAAATATCTTTTTTTATTAAATAAACAAATAATAATAACGAGAATACAAAAAGAAAATCTTCTACTTAAATATTGATTATTATTTTATTTTTTTTTTTGAGCAATAATTTTATAAATTACCCAACATGATTTTTGTTCTTCAACTTCGTTGACAAATTTTGTCAACAAATCAGAATATTCTTCATCAGAGAGATTCAATGCACACTTCAAAGCTGAAGAATAATCTTTAAGAATCACCTCCCATTGCATAATTGTCTAAAAGACGTGAGACGTGATGATGATAATGATAATGATAATGATAATAGATCAGTATTACCCAGACTACGAAATAGAATTAGAAAAAGAACATTATTTACTTACCACTTTACCAAGAACGCCTCCCCATTTACCAATTGGATATTTATGTTCTATGAACTTGAAATTGGTCAAATCCTTGTGCGATTCAATAAATTTGGTAAGAAATGAACTTGGGGAAGGATTGAATCCTCCTCTAACAAGAGTATCATGTGCTATAAATTTACAAATTTATAAATAAATAAATAAATAAATTGGAAAAATAAAATAAATATATAAAATATAAAAAATTTATAACGAATGAGTGAACTTACTGGCTTTTTGAATTTTTTTATAAGCTTCTCCAGAATTGATAAGTTCTTGGTCAAAATCCTGATAATAATTAAAACGAACAAGCAAATATTATATAAAAAGCATATATTAATATGTATTTGATAAAAAGATATCAAAATAAATACCGTGAATTCAATCCAACCACCGGGTTTAAGGACCCTGATATAATCGTTTATGACTTGTTCTTTTAATTGTTGTTCAGTAAATGAAGCGCTGGATCTAAATCTTTGATGAACAAGATCAAAAGTATTTTCATTATATGGCAATCCCTTTAGAACGGCTTTAACTTCGTCGAATGTTGCAGTTGAGAGATCAGTGGGAAATTCAGGTATGTTAATGGTCGTGACATCGGCCGAAGGATGTTCTTTTTTTATATGTGCTGTCCATAGATCTCCCATAGTCCTAATTATTGAATCAAATGAATTAATTTATTAAGAATTTTTTTTCTGCGCTTTACTAATTTATTAATTATTGATCAGAAACTATTAATTACCCAACATCAAGAATTTTTGCGCCATCCAAAGCTGATTCATCAATAGAAGAGGAATAACTTTGCCAAAAATATCGGTGAAGATTAAATTGTCTATCTATCTTACTCAGATTAGGATCATCAATCAATGGATATTTTGGATTATCAATAGTAAGGATTACCTAAAATATGTTTATTTTATTATTAAATTTAATAATATGAATTACGGTGATGATATTAATATTAATAATAAAAATAATAATTACGTTTGACATAGTTTATTAATTTTTTTCTCTTTATTAACAATTAGAAGTATTTTTTTAAGTATTTTTAAGTATTTTTATCTTGACATTTTACATAGACATTATATATTAAATATTTTTGATTAGAAAAATGAATTCATAATTGTTATTATCGTTATGATTGTCATTATGATTTTCATTATCGTTATAATTGTCATTATTGAATGAGTGATTATAATCGTTGTAATGAACATATCATTTTATTATTCGTAATGATATAGTAATAATATAATTTACGCAAATGGAAAGTAAAGGACCAAATTTAATATTAATGTTCACAATTACTTTTTGTGGCGCCAAAATAAATCATTTATTTTTATTATTATCATTTTTATTATTATTATATAAACAAACAAATACAGATCATTCTATTTTCAGAGTTACAAGGTAAAAATAATAAAAAGTTACACGCCAACATATTAAAAATATTAATGATCATCGATAAATTTTTTTGCCAAATAATATATTTACAAAATTATTAGATAGAATACAATAAGAAAGAAATCAGCTATTAAAGATTGTAATGAGCTATTCTCATCAAGTATCTATTAAGTACTTTACTGTCTTTCATGGGAAATTGAACCTCATTCCGAATCTATGTATGGAATTACGTGAAATCATCAAACAATGTAGAGATCAACTCTATATTATAAACAAGTCATGATTAATGACCAACACCCAATAATAATAAAATGGCAGGTGACTTTTACCACCCCACCCCAAGGTATGCTAAATATAATTTTAATTGTATAACTTTATTTAAGGAATGATTTGAAAGTCAAAATGTAATAATCATCCTCTTCAGATAAAACAACACTT